AGCTTTTTTTTCTCGGCTCGGCTCGTTGTCACCGCTATGAAAACACAGTCTATGTGGCGTCAATGTGGCATTAAATGATAGGTAAAATTAAATAAGTCATTTAATTTCACCTTTCATTTAACCTATCATTTAAAGACATATAGACTGTATTTTCATCCCCACTGGGGATGAATAACATTACTCTAAAGGATTTATGGGAATTGCACACATACTTTCAAAGTTTTAACAATAAAATAAGTTTCATTCATAAATAAATAATATAGAAAGATCGAAATTGTAGTTTGTTTTAACAAAGGACAAACTAGTTCACCAAGGCACTTAAGACCAAAATTGTTGTTTTTGTGGACTTACGGTGGAGATGGAACATCACCTTTTCTTCACTCGTCAGTTTAATACATCCATTATGGGGGAAGATTCATGCCTGGCTTGGCATTAGACGTTCTATGTCTACACTACCTAGCTCATTGAAGTAGATAAAAATAAGGCTCGAGGGATGTCTAGTCAAAGTAAAGTTAGACGAATTGCTCTTGCGAGCACTATTTACCATCTATGGATGGCACGGAACAAGATAATTTTTGAGGATTTAAGACCGCAAGTCGGTAGCGTTGTTACACGGATTAAAACACATGTATACCAAATTATGTTGTCTTTGTATCCGCATGTGATGATTTACTAGTCTCTGGTATTAGATCTTTACATCTACTTTTTTGTACATCTTTTCATTTTGTTTGCCTGAGTATGTCTGGTGTATTTGTAAACGTACTTAATCTTTGTTTGCCTCGGTATGCCTGATGAATTTGTACATAATTTTTTATCAATATATTTTACATTTATCAATAAAAAATAATAATAATACCAACAAAGATATCTAACACTTGTACTCTTTATTTTCAAACAGAAGCTTGTTGGGTAGTGAAGTGGTGATGGTTGATATGATAGAAATTAAAATCCTGACTCCACAACTTTTACCAATTTTGAGTTCACTTCTTCGTAATCTACTAAGATAGCGACTAGTTGATCGTCAATAACAAACTTACCTGCCATTTTTCGATAGAATTATCCATATATCCTATACATTTTTTCGAATTACTTCAGTTTATAATTTACCTGCCATTCTGATCTAACTGGATGCTACTGATAAGAAACGACATGGTTTTGAAACACGGGTAATTACATTTGAGAACATTGGCAACTTGTCACAGAGGATTCAAGACGGTTCAACTAATGCAAAGATGATAATTGAAACTAAGATTGAAATCAACAGAACTGAGTGGTCTAAATGCATAAAATTTTCATGACGACGATCAATGCAAGTTTGCATTCTCGCTTGATCTTCATAGTGAAAGGCACAGGAATGCATCAAATGTAAGTCATGCCTAGTGATCAGTGAGAGATTTCTTATGATGTTAAATCCATTCTCAAGGAAGCATACCAAGAATGAAGGCCAGAAACATGCTTTAGCTTGCAGTAAATTAGCCATATCTGCAAGAGAACATCTTGATCTCCTAATAGTAATAAAGAGCAAAAGAGAATAAAATGACATTTTGATGAAAAAATCGACTCAAGTAATTGAAAAACTCTGCCTATTAGCATTGGGAAACAACCTCTTAAGCTTGAACCTACGAAGAAAATATTCAAGGGAAAGTAAAGGTTAATTAGGAAACATTTTGATGGTGGAATTCGGCCAACCCATATTCGAATACATTGGCATATTCGGAATTTGCTGTTCACTGTAAGGTTCTGAGCCATGATTAAGAGAGCCACCGTCATTCTCCCCAGATGAATCGCTTGAAGCACTTGAGGAAGGACCGGCCCCTATCGCTGGAGCACGGGAGTTCAACATATGCACAGGTGTAGCCACAGACGGCCCAGACTTCGGTTTTTTCCCATCAGCAATGAAGCTGCCCACCACAATCTGGTAGAAAGGTACAGTTTGATAGTGTACTTTGACTCACAGATATGCACGCACGCAGAGAGAGAGAGAGAAAAAAAACTGAACCTGTACTGGTGATGCTGCTTTAAGCATTCCTGCAACTCCACCACCCAAAACTTTACCATCTGACCCAGCCAGTGAGACACTCAGACCACCAGTTCGGCTGCAGTTACCATTACTCTCTGACCGGAAGAAGGAACCTGACAGAGAGATGATTTCAAATCGACCCTGCAAATAGAGAAATGCACTGTTACGCACAAGCTACAACAACAAACTCAAACATATCTTAGTGTTAGAAATGAGAGACCAGTTAATAATGGAATAATACACCCTAGCATTAGCTATTGACAAAAGATTTGATGCAGATATCTCTTAAAATTAAACATCAGCATGCTAAAACATTGCAAGGGCCGGATTGACATGCCATCACAAAGTAATACACAAGCATGAATCCATAGTTAACCTGAATTCTAAACTTCTATCTAGAAATATCTGAAAAGCTAATCCATGGATAGAGATTTTGGTACATCCAGAACATCATACAGCTAACAACAGCTGTTTTTAAGCATTTGTAGCTTATTTTGTATTTCATTGCAAATTCCCCACCACTCCAATTCATGGAATGTAATTTAATATGTATCAAGAAATATCTAAGGACTAGAAGTCTCTGTGCCTTTAGATTTTATTGCAAAAGGCAATGGTTACTTGTGCGTGCTAATCACCTAGCAATAATAGAGGCAACTCAAATTCCAATCGCACCCCTTTTTTGCTCCAAGGTGCTAACTTAAAACCTTCTACATCCTAGGCATCAATTGCCATGTCCAACAGATTTCTGCCGTCCAACTTCATTAACAATGTTGTGCACAGGAACTAAAGGCAATATACCTATATGCAAACAGATAATGGAACTCTGTTTGATCAAAAGATACCTACCACGTCAACAACATATATTGAACCAAATATACACTAGTATATTTAAGAGACAAAATACCCATGAACATAAACATGGTAAAAGTGAGAATCTTGTGAAAGGTTTAAAAACAAAAGGTGGACCAAAACTAACATGACCTCCGGTGCTTAGGACAACCAGAAACCTTTAGGAAGAGGCAGATCTTCACCCAGTGGAATTATGTGCAACAATAAATATAAATGACTTCAAATTTATTGGAAATATCGCATGGCTTATTATTGTTATGAAGGAGTGGAAGTTAAAGGTTAAAAAGTACGGAATATATTATTATTTTAACCAAATAAAGCATCCAATATTACTAGAGACAACACGTTGAGATGATCATACCATTTAGAAATTTACTTGATAATTAGCACTCTCATGTAACAATTTCTTAAACTAAGACAAAACACGAGGTGAACAAAGAAAAGACAAGGGAGAGCCTCAGCCTCATAAAAGAAGTGGCAGAAAGTAAGCAAAAGAAAGCAAAGACACAGACATGTTTTAACAATAAAAAACAAATTTAATAATTTGCCTCTATCATCGAATTCACCATCAATTTATTAAAACCACTTAGCCACTATGTGAATTCAATAAATATAGTTCCAATAATAGGCATTGTTCTATTAAATTAGTTCTCATACAAGAAGAAAGCTCGAAGGATGTTGGTAAAACAGGAGATAGGAAGAAAAATTGCACATTTGTTATGTGGATCGCATGAGAAAGATGCATTACATTTGCAAAATCACCTTTATAAATAAATGAAATTCATGTTCACCATTAATAGAATCCTCAGACCCTAAAGCCTTCACATATGTGCAAGCAAAGTATAATAAGCATAACATTATGAATTTCTGTAAAAGATATCTCGCATCTATACGAACATTGAGTAGAACATCTATCACATTTTTTAAGCTCTCCTGATGACATAGAGATTTTTGAGATAAAAAGAATACCAATGCATCGTCAATGTGACAAATTATAGGGCATATAGACACCATATGTGTGTCCATATACAAAGTTGCACACACCTCATATGTTATTGTGCCACCGGACATTGCTGGTTGGCAAAGGGTGACATTGCATATGGCACCATTAGCAGATAGAATGCAAACAGTACGTGGTCCTTGCTGCGAGAAAGCCATGATCTCTGAAGCTACATCCTGCGAAGGATGAGAGCCAAAAAGCCAAAAAGAAATAAGAAAAATTATGGATCATTCCTTAGTGCATAAGGCTTCTTTTATATATTAAATTAGTGGGGGAAAGGAAAACAAAACAGTAAAAGCTGGTTTATCACACTCTTTGCCACCTCAAAAAACAAACAAACGAAAAGAAGTCGAATGTAGTAGAATGTCGTCGTTAAACATCCTCCTTAAATATGTATGAAAACCAATCTACCTCATTTCCTTTTAGATCCAAATGCCAAAAAGAGGTGTCTCACTAAAATCCTAAATCAGAATAGAGACCAAGTGTAATTTAGGAATTTTAAAATGTACATCTAATACCTCAAAATATAAATAGTGATAGAACGAGGACTGTAATATCAACTGACTGCATAAAAGATTAAGAAAAAAATGGTAGCATAGCAGCTTTTCATCTTTAAGGTGGGGATGTGGGGTACACATAATTTGAACCAATACTTATTCCAACTTCTTTTTGTATGACTTATTTCTTGACAATCAATTTTAATTTTTCTTTTTTGCTCTCGCCTTTTAACAAAATTTTTACTCTCCATCAAACAAGGGCGAAATATTGCATTCTTAATACTATTTCGAAGTGTTCACGGTCTAATTTTCTACGTCGTTAATGACGTACGAAACAATCAATCGTAGCAAATACTACGACTTGTCAAAGTAAACTGTTCAAAATTAGTATTTCGAAAATTGCGATAATATGCTAACTTTAAAAAATTTTCGACAATCGTACACTAATCAAATCTACAAATTACTTATGTCATCTCAAAACTTATTTCGAGAACTACATTATAGGCATATCAAATAATCCAAACAGATATCGAAAATGGTTAAAAATTAGTTAAACGTGAGTTTTAAAAAAATACGTTTACTCGCATTTTCTTTAAAAAAATTC